GTTGACTGATTATTCATCTTATTGCAGTTATACAATAAGAAATGAACTCGGTCATAGATAAGATTTCCATGTGTTTACTAAGCCATTATGTTTCTTTTTCTCCTCAGATTTGTTGAATGTAAACTCAACAAGAATTAAAAATATACTCATAAGTGATTTCCAGGTAGATTAGGAAATACTGAGACCTTATTTTAGTTTTCCTTGGAAACTCAGAGTAAATTTCTGAACCTGATTTTGATTATAGATGAAGTGGGCTAAAGCAAACAGTTACATTTGCACTTTGTTAAATTGACTCTTAATTACTTATCTGAACTTGTAATTATGTTCCTTTGGACACTTGGCCTTTATTTTAAAAGTGCACATATTTTCTGCTTTGTAAAATAATGCTGAGATATTTCTGTTATTATAATATCAATGTGAAGATAAAATTGTAAATTCCATAAATTTTTCTCCTGGGTGAATTATCATATTTGGTTTTAATATATTAGGAGAGATGTTGAGTACCTAATAATAATTGACCATCATAAAGTATACCATTCAATTCTCTTAATTCTTAATGATGAAATAATGAGTCATGGGTAGTATGACAGCAGCACGCAAACAATTGTGATGAATAATAAAGCACACTTGATTCATACTCCGGTTTTGTGCAGGTTGGTAGATATAAATATGGAAACAAATAGCTATGATCTATTTCCTAAAGAAATGTGAATGCAATACTGAGAGATGAGGGCAGGAAAAGATGTAGATTATTTTGGCACTGTTTTTCTGTTTCTAGACTATACACGTCTCATCTTCTTTATACCTACAGCTTTACAATTTTATGGTTTTTGGAATATCATTTTTCATATAGGCAGAATTAACAAAAGAAGGTGAAAACAAAGACGATTTTGTTTCTTTTCAGCAGTTCTTGAGAAACGTTCAGTATTTCACAATTTAAAGATTATTCTATAAGGATTAGCAATATCTATGATTTCTAACCACCATAGCCTAGACAAATCTTATTATCAGCAATGTTGGAGGAAACATACTACCTCTGCCTTCTTCACCTAACACATTCAATCTCTTATATGGTTACTGTTTTGTGAATTTCTTTTAGAGTTTTGTAAGCTTCCTACAGTTATAAGTATAGTATGTATGTCAATATTCGGACTTTTCCAGGTAACAGCTCTTACCTTATACCAAAATTTTAAAAAGATGCAATGTCTTAGACTAAATTAAGTACCATTCAAGAATATATTTGAGGGCCGGGGATGTAGCTCAGCAGCGCCACACCTGCCTGGTAAGTGCAAGGTCCTAAATTCGATTCCCAGTACTAAGAGAAAAAAAAAGAATATCTTTGATACTTCTCATTGTTTTTTTAAACAGTTAGGAACCAGAAACTGTATTTCTTGCTGAAATATATTTCAGTTTGCATTTGACAACTGTCTTCCCTTAAGCACTATTGAACAGATGGATTTTAGGACAGTATGAATCTAGGCTTAATTCCTTGGGCCCAGAACCCAATAGTAGCAGGCCAACTTGAGTTGCACCCTTCCTTTAAACAGGAGGAAGTGTTTACTAGAACAACAACCGCTTACTTCACCATTTACTTTGTTCTCATTTACCCTTTAGAATTTTATCAATTCTAAAAAAACAAATAGAATATAATTGCTCTGTATGGATTCAAATTTTCTTTGTATAAATCTTCAAGTAAAGGGAAAGAATAAAAATGTCCCTCTCAGTTATCAGTGTGCACACAGAAAAGTTAAATACCTGAAAAATCTAAATAAGTTAAACTGTAGCATCTTTATTAAGATTAATCATGCAGTCATTTTCGTGTTTAACAAGTTAATTCAGAAAAAGAAAGTGTACAAAGTCTCTATATTAAAAATATGACTCTTATGCCTAAAACGTACTCTAAATGAGAAGAAAAAATAAATGCATATAAAACATTAAGTGACTAAAGACAATTCCAAGAATCAGAGCCTGAAACAAATAAAAAAGAGGATCAAGAGCATAATTCTCCCAAGAACCCTTTAAAATATATCTCACCAATAACAAGATAATTTCATCCAACTGGACTGTACTTTAAAAATTCATCTAGTAATATTAGCAAAACAATTAGAAAATATTAGCAAAGTATGATCTTAATGTTACCAGTCTCTTCATTAAAACATGAAATATTTGGGCCGGGGATTTAGCTTAGTGGTTTTGCCGTCTGCTGCGCAAGCTCAAGGACCCAAGTTCGATCCCTAGTACCCCCCCAAAAAATTTAAAAATTAAAAATTATAAAACATGAAATATTTGACTTAATTGTCAGTGGTTCTAGTGTATGGGAAAATATACATTTCAGTGGAAATTTACAGCTGCAAAGAAAATGTCTACTACTTAAAGTGAAATTTAATGTGTCCCTCTCATTAGTTACAATCTCATCAATAATTAACCAGATAATAATTACAGAATCAATTCAAACCACCTTATAAATTTTACCCTTGCATCTATCTATTTTTAAGCAACTTTTGGGGGGGAGCTCTTAATCATGAGAGGACTATGTTCCTGCTATTCTAGTTCTAGAACCATAGGAATCAAGGTCAACAGAATGAGAGCCCCTAACCTTTTTGCCAGAATCTATCATCCTCAGACTCATCAGGCAGCTACTTGTCTCCCTGACCCCTTTTAATCCACCCTAAAATTCCTGTATGGTTTGTGGAACTTATGGAGCTGTCAGAATGTTTATAACTGTGGTTGTCAACCATTATGGTACATCAGAATCACCCAGGAACTTTTACAAAATATGACTTCCAGAAATTTCTGATTTACTTGGTTTATACTGAGGCTCATCTTAAGTGATTTTTAAAGAACTTAGGTAGCTCTGATATGCGACAAAGGTTGGGAATCATTCTACTCATGTAGGTATGCTTCCAGCTTCATTTAAAAGGCCCAGGCACAAGAATTTTGGGGTATATCAAAAGGGTATAACACCATACTTTATGTATATAGATACATCAAATACTATACAAATAGTTTGAGTTTATCCTTTTTACACTTGAGATTTCTAAATCTCAGCAAGCACATAAGTTATTATTTAAGAATGGTTTGTGAATGTGTACAATACTTGCATAAATAATTATAAAACATTTAAATAAAGTCATAAGAGATTGTCCTTTTCCAAGTGAACTTCTAAACCATGTTTTGTTTATATTAGTAAAGATATCAATTCATTGACCAGCAACTGATGTCTTAAAAGTTCAAAGCCTAGATAAGTAGTCAGAATCCAGTTGTAGTGTGCCTATTTAATTTATTAAAGTCTTCATTTCATCCTTGCTTTATATTTGTCTTATGAAACTACTAATATTAAAATAGCTTGAATGTGAAACTGTAAAATATTTTGGAAGCTCAAAGTAAAAAAAAAACTTAAAAAAATGTTTAAGCATTTGCTTTTCTAGACTACCAGGAAATACTTTGCTACATATAAATTGTCATGGGGTCTGATCCAGACAGATGTCTTTTTTAAGCACCTGTTGGGGTCCACTCTGCAATGTGTCCTTTAAATTGGATGGAGTTTTAACTTTCCAAAAGCAGTCTGCAAGCAAATTGGAATGTCAGAAATGCACACTTGCTGCTTATATTACAGTGTAGCAAACCAGTTCCTGAATTACTGTGTTGATCCTTTGATTTTGTAGTTAATGAGAGAAGTCTTCAAATACCTTTAGAATTGACTAGCTTTTTTTATAGACGTTTATTAGAGAGTTGATTTCACATATTAAACTTCCTTTTACCCTCTTAGGAGTCTGTTAGCGACTGACTTATTAAAAAATGAGAACTGTAGTTGTAAATTTAAGAAGGATGAAACTTCATCTTCGTTTTCATTGCTCCCAAGTAGAGTCTAAAGTTGTATTTGACTATAATGAAATAGCTAAATGTCACATAGCTTAGCACCAAACATGACTATGGCTGATTCTATTCCAAAACGGACATATGTAGGCTGTTAATAGCATTACATGATGATTACATTCATCATTTCTATGTATAGTATAGTACTAATTCAAACATTGTTGAATTAGGCTGAAGGTCATGAGCTATGCACAGCTATTCAAATACTTCAGGTTTGAGGCAGCTGAATTACTCCCTGACCTGGCTTTAGAGAGTGGGCAGATCATCTTCATCTTTATGTCTTCCTGCCCTTTCCAAAAATAGTAGGGCCTTTAACAAGGAGATATTTTAAGCTGCTCATATTCACTTGTCTCATCAGGAGAAGCTTATTTTGTCCACTTGCATGTGTCAAATTTGCATGTGTGCATAGACTTTTGAAATACTAGCCCATGCTTCTCAGCACTCATATAAGACACTGGCAAACTTAAAGGCACTGGGATTGCTAGCTGAGAGTGTTGGCCACCATCAGGGGTAAACATAAATGAAAGGAAGACACTCTTTGGGAATGTGAATATGCTCCCGAAATCATCCATTTCAGACATTTGCACATCAGCCCTCAGCTTTTTGGATCTGTTTTCATAAAACCTGGCTGTGATTTTGCTTGAGACCTCTGCGATTGTGTCACTTCTAATAAATATTTATAAAAGGCACTGCCAGCCTGTGGATAAGGGAAACTAATGAGAAACTGCTATCCAAAATCTGAACTGCAAAAACAAAACCAAGCAAAACCAAAAACTCCAAAACAAAACCAAAAAAGAGCAAGTCAAACAATCCGTGCTCACAAGAAGACTTAGAAAAATACCAAGATGTAACTTTGATTTGATAACTGGATTTATCAGTCACTTGACTAGCATGCAGTGGGTACTTTGTATTTTTCTACTTTGAAAAACAATGGCAAATCTATGTTATTCTGCACAACTGGGACCAAAAAAAATATGAGTGTGAGAAAACAGAGACTCTAAAAGCAGGATGGAAATTAAGCAGGTAAACACTGTTCCACAGTCATGTCATTCCAGTGCAGATGTACGTGGTACTCGTGTTTGCACCTCTAAGAAATTTCCATTTTTTCGCATCAAAAAATTCAGATATGAAGCTGAAGCTGCTTTCTTCGCCAACCTGAAGTTGTCTGATTTCAACATCATTGACACTCTTGGAGTTGGAGGTTTTGGACGAGTAGAACTGGTAGGTGGATTGCTCTTTAAATGATTTTGAAAACCCATGTCTTCCTTTTTATTTTTTTTCTCCTGGTATAAGACTTCTTTCTTTTCTCTTTGTTCTCTTTTCATTATTTACTATTATTCCTAAATATTGACCACAAGACCTCACATAGGCATGCTCAACAAAGTGGACTACGCTACATAATCGGTAGACTAAAAATAACAGACACCAAATTACTTTTTAGAAAACCTTTTCATATTAAGTGAAAGATAAACATGTCATGTACTAGGGAGGCATAAAGAACCTTTTACCCAGCTGATAAGCCTATAATCCACATTTACTTAGCTCTGAGCAGTGCTCACTAACTTAATTATATACTTTAATTTGTTACAATAATTCAAGTGTAAATTTAAGAACATATAGAGGACTGGGAGATATAGATACAAAATAAATGACACAGTAGTCGCTGCAATTCTGTAGTTATTGGAACCTAGATTATAGTGACAATGATTTGAATATTTTGTATAGTTTATTTCACATATGCATTCTAAATATAGTTAAGTGTTAAAAATGAAGATATTTTTGTACAAGTTCATACATAAAACACATTTCATGAATGTAGTATAAACAAACACACCCTGATTTGGATTTGTTTTAAATAGAATTTTAAAAACTGACACATTGCTCCAAAAATTAGAAAAAGAAATATTCTGGTGATTGAGTTAGCAGCATGCCAAGGCTCTGTAAATATCCTACTTCAGAATGCCAATTCATTCCTATCTCTCTGTGAATGCAGGAGTCCCTGATATCAGACACCAGTACAGTGTGTGAGGAACTCCCTGAGCCTGTGTACAGTTCTGTAAACAGTTACTGTTGCCATCCTGAGTCAGGAGAAATCCCCTTCCATAAAATACTATGACCTAAAGATATTTCTGCTATTAGTGTATTTGTGCTGCACTTGGGATTTTTCACTATGTTAGGCAGAAAAAAGCTATTTACTTAAAAATTTAAAAGAAGATTTTAGCCAAGCATGGTGGCACACGCTATAGTCCTAGCTACTCAGGGAGCTGAGGCAGGAAGATGGAAAATTCAAGACCAGCTTGAGCAACTTAATGAGACCTGGTCTCAAAACTAAAAATTAAAATAAAATCGAAATGCCTGGGAATGTAACTCAATAGTAGAATGCTCCTGAGTTAAATCCCTAATATCAATCAATCAATCAATCAATCAAAGAAAGTTCTAGAGCCATAAAATGTTTCCTGAAATTTTCATTATACTTCCCTTAATAATGATTGGAAGATACTATATTAATGCTATTACTTTTGACTTGATAGTCCATAATATGCCTCTTAAATTGTATCTAAAGTTACAGGATTAAAAATCAAATAAGAAAAATTTTTAAAAATCAAGTAAGGTTCTACAAAAATTCTTGATTTCATGAATTATGCCATTTAATGCAACCTCGCATTTATTTCTTAAGGTTTTTGGTTTTGTAGTGAGTTATAATTATTTGTACAGCTAAAAAAGATTTAACTGCATTGTATATGACAGCTTTGCTTTTGAGGTGCAAGAGAGAGGGTAAAGCTTTTTACCATAAAGGTTATAGTTCATGGTGTGTTCATTTACATAATTGTATATATCTAAACCCCTCTATGAATAAAGCAGTATAAAGGACAGAATTCCTCAGAGATTAATTTGGGGTTATTTGTTACAGTTTCTTAAATATTAGTTTTTAAAGACTATGGGCAATAAAATTGGTGTTCTGATTAACAACAACAAAAGTCAACCTTACAACTTTGTGAACTTCTAGAGATCTGATAACTTCAAGTTACCCATGAGATATTTTATATGTAGGAATTTACTTGGATATTTTAAATATTGAAAATATTGGTAATATTGAAAATAGCTTGTAATAACTCTGAAAGGATTTGAAGACGAGAACAATTGTCAAACTTTTAGAAAATTCTCTAAAATATATATGTGAGGCACAAACAATTAGCCAAAGAATTAGGGTAAATTTAATCATGTAAAAGGTAATACAGTTTAGCTAGATGCACAAAGCCCTTGAGTTCAGCCCCCAGTACTATACACACAAGAATAATACAGTTTAAAAGGACAAAATATGTGGATATGTGGTGGTATGTTTTTCTCTCTCCCCCCCTTTCCCTCTCCCTCTCCCCCAGTCTCTCTCTCTCTCTCTCTCTCTCTCTCTCTCTCTCTATATATATATATATATTCTTCTCCACTCTAGGAAATACTAAATAGTTCACTCCACTTTTTGTCTCATGAATATTCTAATATTTTACACAAATTTTTATAAACTAATGAAAACCAAACCTAAAAAATTAATTATTAGTTGGAAATACAGTTGGTTTTGCAAAAACTTCAGATAATATTGGTGAATGATAGATCTTCTATGGGCCATTAGGTACAATGAGTCCTTTGAGGGGGAGAAGTCCGTAACCTTAACTTCTGTACTCACATCTTGTATTGTCTTTCACATTCCAAAGCATGCTGAGGGATAAGTAGAGAATCCAGATTATCTTGAGTATTTAGTGTGGACTAGCCACTTATGTGATCACCAGTACTGTAACATCCATTGACCCCAGTTCTTACCACTTACTATTTTCCTGGTCATATTAATTACTAGGTATGAGAAATATTCTTCTCTATGATTTTTTTATTTTTTAAATTTATTCAGTGCTGCTAAATTTGAGAGACTGACCTTCACACTTGACTGCAATTATATGTACAGTTGTCACCAAACTAAGATAATAGCACATCTTCACAGTGGAATTGTTACCATTCATAGTCAGGAAGTGTATATAGAAAGAGCCACATTATGTTGTGATTATAGAAATTTTCACTCATCTCTGAGAATGAGACATACAAAATAATTTTATCAATATTACAAGATGCTATTTTTAAGCAACACAGTTTTGATATACACATTTCACATGTGTTCATAGTGCTGAACATGTTAGTGTGAAGTGTGCAATACTTCTTTGGATGTACAAATCTTTACCTTAACAAAACCAGTGATCAGGCAAATAACATTACAAAATAATACAAGTTATACTTTATAACAGTATTTAAAAATCTTTTAACCTGACATGAAATTATAAAATTATAAACTCTCCAACAGGGCATGAAGGGTTTAGAAATTTGAAATTTTGAACTCCCATTTCCTGTTAGTGCTAAAAATGTAGTTTTTCATTATTGTGTGACATACAGATTATGTTTGTGTGATTTTGAATGATGATATATCCTTCACAGAGTTCTTAGCATTACTCAATTTTTATTATTTGGCAATATAGATAAATTTAGGTTCAAGAACATTTTTTCTGGTAGAAAAATTTTCAAATAATTTATTTTTAATTTTTAGAGATGAGAACATAAGAAGAAATGTATATTTGTTCAGTGATGAGCCCAGAAGCTTATAGTAAAAGTCTTACATGAATGAGAATTCTGCTTTTAAACTCTCTGGTATATTTCATAAAAACTTTTGGCATAACTGATCTTAACTAATTTAATATCAGATATGTCCCAAACACAGTCATTACCTTTGAGCAGTCACTTGTACTGCTGTTCTTTTTTCTCTTTGGCTTGCAACATATTTTCTGTCCCTGTTCTTTATTTTTAAGAATGGGCTTAAATGCAACCAATTTACAGAACATCTGTCAGAAAGCCACATTCTAATACTACTTCCAGGAAAAAACAAACAAACAAAAATCACAGCTTGCTCTCTCTCTCTCTTTCTCACTCTCTCTCTCTCTCTCTCTCTGATTTACTCACTAATGTTCTAACCTGAGTAATCTTCTTAATTTACAAAAGGTGATTGCAAAATAAGACGATTAGTTTTACAAATCATTAGTGAAAATGAGTCCCATTGCTTTATGGTCAAATTCCTAATTTACTTTTGTTCCTACCAGAGAAATACTTACTTTCAGAATACAGATGTACAAATCAAAGTCATAAAAACTGCCTTTTAATCTGACATTACTATGTGGCAGTTGATTTAAATATTAGATACTGAATATGTTTACTCAGGAGTCCAAACATCTCCCATACCGAAAACCATACTTGGATAAAATATAGGAACAAATATATGGGAGACATGATCTCTGTTTTATTGAATTATATTTTTCTGATATCAGTTAGTATATTAGGGCAATCAAAAGCTATGGTGAATGTTTAAATTTCAAAAAAACTATTATAGTAAAAGACTCATTGACATTAATCCCCCTCACAATACTCCCCCTTACTTCAAACACACCCCATGTGTCTTTTACCATATGTTTTTAAAAAATTAAACATTTACCATATTTTCTGATTATTCCTTGCATATCTATGTAGTAACACAAAATTTAATAGAAAATGGCTCTTGGTTCTAGGAAATCACAGTCTACAATCATGTGCACTCAAAAAGAAACAAAACAAAACAAGAAACCCTAGCAAAGTACAAACAGGACAGGCTCGATGCATGGAGGGGGAAGATTATTTGCAGGAAGTGGTATTTCAAAGGCAGATTGAGAGTTAAGGCATCAATATAAATAACTAACACATTATGGTTTATGGTTGGTAAAATGAAACAACTACAAGAAAAAATGCTTATTAATAAGTTAATATTACTTTCTTACTAAAAATAACCTTCTATTTAATGCATACTTGATAATCATCAAATTGCTTTCATGGCCAATATGTAATTCTACCCTGAAAGCTACCCTGGAAAGGAAACACAAGGTATGATCTACATATCACAGGAAAAATGTCAAGAATACATTTAAGTGGTCTATATCTTTGTGGTCATTGAAAGAATTATTGTTATTGCTCAGAACTAATTTTTAAACTAGAAGTTTTTTCTATCATTATGGTTTCTAAAAGTATTCAGATTCTTACCACCACCACCACCATGAAATCAAACAAGCATTATCTCAATGCCACATGTATATTAGGATGAGAAAAAGAATGCTCTAGAATTGAAGAACCAGAACTAAATATAAAGCATCAGTAGAGAGCATGAT